CGAAGTCGCGCAAAGGAACACGTGTATTACATATATGTATATATACGTATATACAGGGTGTCTCAGCTAACTTGATCACCTTGATTAATGACTTAACAGTATACATTTTATGAAAATTTTAAGTCGTGTTACTTTCAAGGTCACCTTAATCCTTTTTTAACGCAATTACCTATTTTGTTAAAACGCGTTGACCTTCATACGTCCTAAACCTAATAGTTAACGAAATATTTACAAAACAATCATTGTATTGAAATTGAAGTACATCAGGTCGAGCACCTATAGCTTCCAGATAGTAAGTACATATTAAAAATTATTTTCTAAATACCTCATTAACCATTACTTTTAGGACGTATGAAGGTCAACACATTTTTACCCAGAATTTGATACTCTATGGTACAAAACACAGGTGATTCCGTTAAAAAAACATCAAGGTGACCTTGAAATCTTTGAAATGCCTCCACCCATAATAAAAGCACGTACCTTACAAGATGTGCCCCTTGATGCCATTTCAGTTTCACGCCTCAAAATTTTCATATAGTGTAGCTACCGTTAAGTCATTATTCGAAGTGATCAAGTTAGCTGAGACACCCTGTATATACACACATCCAATGTCCCGACGTGACAATGCCGGACGTGCACTTATACGGACTGCATTATAATTTGCATTGTGCGCGGCCGTGCCATGTGCGTGCACGCGCGCGCTCGAAAACGCACGAGATATCGCGTTGCACGCGCACGGAGCTCTACGACGATGTACACTCACGAGCAAGCTCGGCTTCCACTAGGGGAAAAAAAGGCGTAGAAGAAAAGTTTCGCAAACTTACTAAATTTATTTCAAGTACAGGAATAAATGTTAAACCGAATATTAATTTGGTATAAATTTCAGTAACTCCCCAAAACTAATTTTTCAAGGGAACGAAAAGAAACCACAGTAATGTCTCGATGAGTGCAACGTCCATTTCGGAGCATTCATGGCAAGGCGGAAAGGTTTTCAGCCCCTCATAAATTTGTTTTTTTTTACCCGAAACTGAGTCTCTGCTTAGCTTCTGTTTACTCTGTTTTAATTGATTCCAGAGGGGACACCTCCTCGCAGTGTCGCATTCATCGAGGGTCTCCTCAATTCATTACGCAACATTTCATCTATGTACAGTGGTGTTCCAAAGTATTGTACTCTGTATGTATACGTGTGGAGTCGGCTTTATTGGAGCTCGACGCGCACCGACAGAATCGCATAAATAAATTGGTTCGAAGAACGGAATAATATCCGCGAGTAGGAAAGTGGTCTTCACTTTCACCACGGCTTTAAATCAGCCCGCTTGTCCACGCGTGTTAATTTGCATGATACGTGAAAGGAAATGTGTACTTTTCGTTTGATTTATCGTCACGGTTTTAGCCGTATGTTGCCCCCCTCCCCTTATCCGATTTAATACTCGACGATGGCGATCTTTATCTCCATACCGTACTACGTAAGCCTCCCTTTCGAAACAGAGATTCTCATAAATCATCGCTAGTCAATTAACATCGATTTGAATTTTTATTGAGCACCGAATCATCGGCCCCTTATCAATCTCTTCGGACATCTCCTTTACCGATTATTATCAGTCGAAGCTCTTCGGTGTAATAATATTTATCTTTTAGAGTGATTAAATAAATGTTAGTTGTACCAATAAGTAATTCGCAATTTCTTTTTTATAACCTGGTAACGTGGTATAAATTTGAAACATTTTTCGTGCTCTTTGTGTCTTTCGAAATGATCGCGAATATTACCATAGCTTGATAAATATATGGAAAAATAATACCCCTGAAAAATCCATAACTTTTATTCGCTTCCGTGATCCATTTAACGTTCGTCAAGTAGCCCGTAAACTCGATAGAAATATGCAAAAAACACGTCCCCGCGAGAGGTAACAATTTCAACTTTTATACGGGACTAGCAATAACCTCGTTAAAAGTATAAAAAAAGACAACACAAACACTCTGAAAATTTCTAAAAGCATACTAGAGAAACATCCCCTGAAAAAAACCATTCTCTTTCGTAAAATTGCCTGGCTCGATAAAAATATACAAAGAAAATACATCACTTGAGAAAAAAAAAAAGAAATTCACAACGTCCGTCAGGAGATCCGAAAAAAAAACTTGTTAAACTGAACAAAAAAGACCCTGATGAAAGTTCATATCGTGTATTTTCGGGATCAAAAAGGGGCTCGATAAAAATACGAACAAAAAAGGACACCCTCGCCTCTGAATTAGAGGGTGTCGAGTACTCTACGCTGTTGTGAAAGAAAGAAAAAAAAAATGAAACTCTTCGATGAAATTCGGTGGAGTCGCCGGTCGAAGAGACGTTGGCCACGCGAGGGGTGAAACTCACGGAACAAAGGTGCGCGCCTGGCAAAGAGGGGCAGAGACAAGAAGGGGGTGGGGGCTGATTGGGGGAGGGGGGCGGTGTGCAACGACCGAGGACAGAGATCACGGAATAGGGAGAGGAAGGGAAGGGGAGGGCATTGAATTAAGTTTCTCCGCCCCTGAGGCCGACACATTCGCCGATACTCGTCACGACCAACCCCCCTGGGGGGTCTTGCGAATCTTTCAATGGAAATTCGCGTGGAACGGAACACAGGGCGCCTCGAGGTTCGTCGATCGCATTTGCAGCACACGTGGAGTATTTTAGAACTCTGGGATCGTTTGATTCTCGAAAGATTTTTGGACAATAGGATTCTGACTTTGAGACTATGGGACTTTGGGACTATAGACCTTTGACGTATAGAAATTTTGGGCTATAGAACTTTGGGAATCCAAACGTTGGAACTTTGGAATTATAGAACTTTGAAGCTATAGGATTTTGGGACTCAGGTATGTCAGAACTTTGGGACTCTAGAACTCTGGGACTATGGGACTATGGGATTTTGGGAGTATGGGACTATGGGACTTTGGGACTCTAGATCGTTGGAACTTTGGGACTCTAGAACTCTGGGACTGTAGATTTTGAGACTATGGGACTTTGGGAGTATGAGACTATGGGACTTTGGGACTCTAGAACGTTGGAACTTTGGGACTACAGAGTTCTGGGACTCTAGAAATTTGGGTTTCCAGAACTTCGAGACCATAAAACGTTGGGACTCCAGAACTCTAGAATTCTAATACCCTAGAATACGAAGACTGTTAAATTTATCCACCGCGCCCAGACACCTGTGGAAACAGTCTCTTATGAACGAGTCTCAGCCGTTTGACCCGGGGGCCAACGAGCCCGAATTATTACATTACAAACGGTGCCGCTGCCACCTGCACCGGTGCCCCGGGATACGCGAACTCGCGCCCGGAACCCCGGCACCTGGGATACCGACTCCGAGTACCGTGTAATTTAGTCACCTCTCTGAAACCCACCAGTCGATGTCGATTTAAACCTTCACAGGTGTACACGGGCCCTTTGATTACGTAGGTGTAGGATTCCGATCGGATAAATGCTCCAGGTAGGAATTTATGCAAGCGGAATCCTTCTTTTCGTGGACGTTAACCCTAGAACTACGAGCATCAAATATATACCACAATAAATTAAATTGTATAATATACTATACAATACAATCTAACTACAGACTCTAAAACGTCGTTTCAAATCATCCCTTACACAAATTTCGGTAGACCCTATATATGTTGTATTTTAAATTTTGCATCGCCTCCGAAAAGGTTGCAATGTTAACTTAGTACCCCATTTAGTAAGATAAAATAATTTTTTTTTAAACCGTTGTTGCATTTCTGTAGAAATAATAAAAATAGAAATTATTTTCTACGTATTATCGCTATTCGAAGTCAGTTCATATTTTTTTTGAAAAAAAATTGTTTTATTTTATCCACTGTATACGGAAGTGTTTAAACAAATTCTGGCCGGCAACGGGTTACAGTGACGCGTGTCGGAACAGTAAGCGAGAAGAAACCAGCAAAAGGCATTTACACCACGGTTGTAACTCATCCTTCCTGGATAATGACAATGGCCCCCGTAGTTCCCCCGTCCATTATCCGTCGCGACGCCTACGATCCGGGCAGCCGTGGTACGTGCCTACCTGTGGCGAAGCAGGTGCCATCGTAATGTAATAATCGGCCGCGTGGCCAGGTCAAACGATTATTACCGGCTACAGGTGTTACTGTCGGGAGTGCCGGGGCCCCGGCAACAAAGTCTTGGGCCTGACGACCGCAGCTTTTATGGGACCACACAGATCGACCGTTAACCGGGGAGAGATCGAAGCGTGCGCATCGACTGCACTATTCGAAGATGAAAAAATGACGAAATAATTTTAATAATGGAATTATACTTGCTTTGACAATTATTTTTTAAAGGTCGATCGTTGTTGTTAAGTGTTTTGCTGAGGGAATTCTAGAATTTTTAAACCCTGGAACTCTAAAATTCTGAAGATCTTAAACCCTGGAATTTTGGAACCAGGGAACATTGAATCTTCTGAACATTTGGACTTTCGATCTTTGGAACTATAAAACTCTAGAACCCTGGAACCCTGGAACTCTAGAATTCTAAATCACTAGAATTTTAAATCTCTGGAATTCTAAAACTCTGAGATTCTGGAACTTCGAAACTTTGGCACTCTAGTACTCTGGTACTCTGGTACTCTGATACTCTAGGAACTAATTTTCTATAATTCCCAAACTCTATAACTTAATATTCTACAACTCTGTAACTTGTCAATGTTACGGCCATTACATTTACCTCCATCTAATAAATACCTATACATATACAGAAATACTCCTTTAATTACAATTCTACAATTAGACCTCGTGGAATTACAATAAATTTCAATGAATAACATTCTGATCTATTTGTAGAAAGTTTATCGATTTACAACACTTGTAACGATCGATCATGTTTGTACTTCCCGCGAAAAATTGTTCTCACCGAGTGTTGGACGACGCGGTGGCTAAGAAAACGATGATATTTGACGGAGATTGGCTTTCGTCCGATAATAGTATCGAGCACCAATCGTGCCTTTTATTTGCAGACAATCTTGCTCGGGGACAGCGGAGTCGGCAAGACCTCGCTGTTGGTCCAGTTCGATACCGGCCGATTCCAGCACGGGAACTTCGCGGCCACTGTTGGTATTGGCTTCACGGTACGTACCAGGCCAACGTTCAATATTTGTTTATTTGTTCAGGCGAAAGACAGCGGCACGACTCTACGGGGCGTTTAATATCACGTTCTGATTGCAATCAAGAGGATTCGCTATCCTTCTCTGGAAGATTCTCTGGAAAATTTTCTGTTCGTCCAAGTATTGTTTTTTTTATAGTTTGACAAACGATGAATATTCATTCGATCTGACAGCATTTTGAAGGAAAATTTTATTAAAAAAGCGTGAAAACTTAGAAGTATGTTGTAAAAATGTTAAGGAGAATAATTTTAATATTTTCTAATGTAATATAATGAAATAAGTTTGTTGGAATTTGAAATATTATTCGTGAGTAGAAAATATAATTTTTCTTTTGACTTTCAGTAAAATGGAATTAAAACGTCAACGCAGAAACTGACTTTCGCTTTATCAATATAATATACTGTTTAGTTAGATGTATAATGAAAATTTCATTTAACGAATGGATCATGTTTAGTGTTCTCCAAATTGTAATATAATAATATATGAAAATATATTATTATATCAAGTTCATCACCCAGAGCAGTGTTGTGAAGGTTTTAGTTGGGAATCGCCGTTTTTGTAAATATTACGTTGTAATAGTCTTTTCTTGTTTTCCCTTTCCCTAGTAAGGGAAACATCGTTCTTACCCTACCAATCAACTAAAAATGTTTGATCATTTTACAATAATTAATGTTAAAACGAAATCACGCGCTGATTTTTCTATCCTATGAATCAGAATTTTCATTGCATGCAGAATTTTCTTTATGTATAACTTCACAACGTTTAGTTCTTATTTTGAGTAAAACATTCTACGATGACAGTAACTTGGTATTCGGTTCGGCTTTCATCCTATCGCTAATTCTACAGCAAGAAATCTAAACTCCGTTATTTTTAGGGTAGTACTAGTTGTGAAGTATCCATTACCAGAGCGAAAAATCGGTGTCTGATGATCGGGAAACAATTTGGAGAACGCTGAAACGATCACGGATCGACGACGACGACCCACGAGCGCGCGCGCGCACGTGTATCAGCGTCTGCCAATGCGAGCAATGCATTTATTCATGAGGCCAACAGCCCCGCGCGATGCTTTTACACCCGGCCCCCACGGGTATTTACACGCGCGTGAAATTTATGGTCGTCGGTTCTTCGTCGGTTTTCCGTCGAAGTCGTTCGACGAGAGTGTCCCGACAACGCCACACCACTGTCGTGTGTGCCCCAACCTCTTAACAGACGCGATTTTACTCTCTGCTGGCAAATCAACTAAAGGCTGTTCCTACTTTCTACGTATTTTTTTTTTTATGGGAGAAAAACCGTCGGTTCGGAAGACTTATCGGACGTGTTACCTGGGAACTTCGTTTTACAGTAGTTTACATCAGAAAATTCGAGGACTTCTACCGAAACGTAAAATACCAATAAGTACCGGTATTATATCGACAAATACCGGTATTTACCGGTATTTTCGGTTGTACCTCCGCCCGATACAACCTTATATAAACCCTACCCTTATAGAAATCGAAATAATACCGGTTTACAGTAGTTTACATCCGAAAATTCAGGGACTTCTACCGAAACGTAAAATACCAGTAAGTACCGGTATTATACCGACAAATACCGGTATTTACCGGTATTTTCGGTTGTACCTTCGCCCTATATAAGCCCTACCCTTATAGAAACCGAAAAAATACCGGTATTTATATCGGTTTCGATATAGCTTGGTGGCATAATACAGGTATAAAAATCATACCGGTTGTACCAAAAGACCCAGCGAAAATTTTGATTTTTTTTTTAAAAACTTCGTAGGGTAAAGCTGCGTCTACACTATATAGCAAAACAGTGTTATACAACAAATTGTTCTATAACCTTGCTATACAACATGTTTTTATAACTTATGCTCGAATTAATTTGTACAGTATTCTTCACAACAGCTTGTAAAGTGGACTTATTCGCGGTCTGGAATTTACTTAAAAAAAAAAAAGAATTCTATGCGACTGCTTCTTGGAGGACAGGGTTCAATGAGTAAATTTACGCGTTGAATCGATAAACAATCGAATTCAGGAAGGCCTGGGTGATATTACCAACGAGTTTGTTTCACTGAAAATCGGCCATTGTTTCGCGCGCGCGAAGAACGAAGCGCGCGATGACGCCTGTCGGGCGTAAAATTCGATTGTATTTCATTTACGACGATATCACATCCCTGGTCAAATACACCGTATCGAGAGGGGCGCAAACAATTGGAAACCAGCCACAAAAGCGTCCGAACTATTAAATGAAACAACGCATAACGGAGATCGTGGAGCTAAAAGTGAATCGGTTGTTTCTGTGCAACGTTCAGAAACAGGACAGACAAACGTGTTTACTGAAACAATAAACATTATCGATATTAATATTAATTTCGGTTCTATTGCAGTTTATTCCATACCGAACATATTCGGCATATCATTCTGTATTGTACATGTTCCGGAATATATTAACATCTCGAATTTTAAACGTAAACCGTAGGTACATCGACGAATGAAATTAGAATTAAAGACTGAAAGCTATGAATTAAAGAAAAATGCATTGCAAATTTATCCTCTGCTTGTTTTCATATGTTTACTGTAGATCTTTTCTGCACAGAAAGAATATTTATTGCAATTATTTTTACAGTAAATAGGTTCCTATTTCGATGTTCTTCTGTACTCTGACCTGCCGCCATTAATACGGAGCCGCCTTCTTCCATAGAATTAACCGTCCTGCATTGTTCGGGTCAATTTTCACCAATATTTTTTATTAATGAAATTTACTTAATAGATTCGTATATATATAACTTATAGAAAACGTCTGCCGAACTCTGGCATTCCAAGTCGCGACAGACGGCCGTTCGCAGCCGTCGTATCGTCGAGAAAGTTGAAATCGCTCTATCGTGCGGCCGGCTGGTCGGTCGGTCGCAGATTTCTCCTCCAACACGTGTCTACACCGTGATACGTTTGTGCCTCGTTGCGGCTTTCCCGCGATACTTTCGTCCCGTTTTACCGCGTGTTCCGTCGTATAATTATATTTCGAACACCGAAGTTCGGTCCTACAATACGGAATTTGTCGTCCCGTAACTTTAAATATGTTTTTGAAGACTTTGTAGCTGACTGAGCAACGCACAGTGGTACAGAACGCCGATTCAGAAGTTCAGAAGCTTAACTTGGGTGTAAAAATGGGAATTTCGGAACCAAACTTGATAAGCATATATATAATCTTCATATTTATTAAAAACGTACAAAATTAATAAGTTATGTTTTTTAAAAATAATTTTTTTATTAACGAAATAAAAACTTTTTTACGGAGTTATCATTGTCAATCATAAGTTCTCGTAAAAAAATTATTATTAAAAAACATTACTTATTAATTTTATATTTTTGTTAATAAATATGAATATGGAATGTATGCTTACCAAGTTTGGTTTCGAAATTCCCATTTTTACACCGAAATTAAACTTCTGAACTCCTAAATAGGCGTTCTGTATCATCGTGCGACGTGTAAAATACGTAAAAGTTAAACGTTTTGGAGATCAGTCGCATGTGTCCTGTCTGTTTGCGTGTGTTAGCAGATTGTTTTGGATCGACAGCTGACCGATAGATCGCGAAAGAACCAAAGGCCAATGGCCCCAAGTAAGAAATTCAAAACCAGCGATCAGGGCCGTTCCTGGCGAAGGTGCAAAATGTGCCCTCGCACCTGGGCGGTCGCAGATCGTTTATTATATGTACAATTTTGGCTAGTGAAAATAATAATCAAGATTTTAACATATGTCAATGTCAGGGTCATCGGGTATGGATGCTTTTCGGAAATTAACTCTAAAAAAAAAAATACCAATGAGCTTGAAATCTCGTAAAAAAAAAATGACCTTTACGAAAACAATCTTTCCACTATTACACGTGCTTTTTGAAATACAGCAACTCAGTCCTGAGACCTTTTGTTCATACAACAATAAATAAGACAGATCTATAATAGTTCACCCTATACGTATAATAGTAAAATGTTATACAGAATAATTTAATTCACCTGTCTTATCGTGTCTGAAGCACTTGCCTTCTTCAGAATTATCGATTTATGTTACACGATATTAATAATCAACCAAGCAAAGTACTTATCGACTGGTATATACACAAACATGATAAATGATGATTGTTAATTAAGTCTGTAACTACAATCTGTTGGGGGGAGCAAAACGTACGAGCCACTTTAATAATATGGTACACCTCTTACGACGTTTGTCCACGCTTTTCCAACTGATCGCCAAGCACAGCCTACCGACGTAAATACTCGACATTGCATATTCATGGTGCGTCGGGGCGGCGCGACTACTCCATTATGTAATTACCGTGGTCGTAACGGCGCTTATCTCGGCGACGCTGTTGATCTGAATTTCATTGGCTCCGTGTCGACGCTGCTTCTAATAATTACGTAATGTATCTAGTGTCCCCTGTGTATCAACTGGGATTCGTCGAAACGAACCTGTTTCGAGAGATCCTCTGGTTCGATCTTTCCGCGAGATCTACGGCTAAGGAACCAGGGACTTCTTCCGAAACGAAAAATACCGATATTTACCGGTATTTTCGATTGTATCTTAGCCCTATATAATCCTATATAAGCCCTACTTTTATAGAAATAAAAAAAATACCAGTTTACAGTAGTTTACGTCCGAAAATTCAGGGACTTCTACCGAAACGTAAAATACCGGTGAATACGGGTAAATACCGGTATTTACCGGTATTTTCGGTTGTACCTTCGCTCTATACAACCTTATATAAGCCCTACCCTTATAAAAACCGAAAAATTACCAGTATTTATATCATTTTTCGGTAATATATCGGTTTCGATATAGCTTTCAATACCGGTATCAAAATCATACCGGTTTTAATTCCTGTAAAAAAGAACAGAGTGATCGAAATGATCACAGTAACTAATTTCTCTAACATCTCTAAATGTCTCATCAGCACATTTTAAGGTGACCTTGA